GGGGGGCAATGCATTTCATAAGAACTTTTTTTGTGATCGCATATCTGAAGAGGATTCTTCATTTATTCATTTACACAGTTGTTGTCATGATCAGCAGTGAGGAGCATCATTCACTTTATAGCAGAATGCAATTTACATCCTCCATCTGCTCTCCATCACATCTCAGTATCTAACAAACTGTTTGTTCTGAGTCAGATCCACTGCGGCTATTATTCAACTACTCGAGGATTTGTTTTTCTAGAGATTCATTAGATAACTCAGGATCGCAGATGTGGAGTGAATAAACAGGATCATGTTTAGTAACTTTTTGTGTTGTCTATATTTATAGACAATCTGATACTACTACTACTTGTGTGACCTTTATCTTGTTTCTTGTCCAGATGACGGTATCTAAATATGGTGCACAGTTCCGGGGGAATTCCCAGCATGACGCTCTTGAATTCCTGCTCTGGCTTCTGGACCGCCTCCATGAGGACGTCAACTCATCTTCAGCCCTCCCCAATGGGAATAACAGAAGCAAATCAAGTGGCAAGGTAAGAGCGAGCATGTCTCAGAACCCACCCTGGGCTTGAAACAGAAATGATGCAATATTCAATCTCAGCAATTGGCTCAAAATTTGATTTTTTCCTCATGTTATGATATATTATTAAACCACAAATCATCACCTGAAATATCTGCAATATGAGGACTAGTATGAGTTACCAGCGGCTCTTCTAAACCCCCATATGGCCAAACAGCTGTTACCTTCACCATTACAGTGACTTGGCAAGGTCAGAGAGTCTCGTCTACACACCCCTGCCACCCATAAACAACACATCTGTTTATGAAATATGGAGATGCATGCCAAGCCCCATAGCGTGCATTGAGCTACAGTGGTCTTCTTGTGCATAACCTTGGAATTGCCCAGATGAATAGCTTTTCACAGTGGCTGTGATCTTCACAAGGTGAGATTCATGGGGATTGGGGCTGAAATTGATTTGAAACCCATAGCGTTTCGCAGGTATACATGTGTGCAAAGGTTTCCACTCATCTTGGACCTCAAATCACATCACCATGGCAGCAAGTTGCAGAATCCTCTGCAATTATTGCCACTCAAGGAGAAACATGCACTTGTTGTTTATTACATTAACTGTACACTGCATATAAAAGAGAAATCTAATTTTGTAATGTCAAATTATTAGGAAAAAAACATCTACTATTTACTGTCTGAAATTAGGGCAAGAAGGTTTTCATACATTAGCCATTATTACTGCACCGTATTTCCACTAGTGTTTAAACACAGCAGAGCCCCAATAATGGAGAAGAATGTTTTCTTTAATAAAGCCACTGCCTTATTTAGAAACCTTTTGTCAGGCAGTTTCAAACAACTGGGGGACAAAGATATATTTTTCTCCATGCAGTGTGCTAGCTATAGAAGGCTGAACATTTCCAAAAATCTGCTTTCATGCCAACTATCAGAGCTCTTCTTGTCTGAAGAAAGCCTATGCTATTTTTAAAATCACAAATGTACAGTAAGCAGCTGAAATTCACAAAACTTTACAGGAGCTTTGATTAGTGATGGCTTCTGAGGTCAGATGAGATCTTTTGGCAACAAACATCAGAGATTGAAAAAAAGCTAATCACCACTGTAAAGTACAGAGTTGTTGTCTACCAAAAATCATTTGGACAAAAATAAATAAATAAATAAAAAACATAATATCACAATATATAGCTAAAAGAACAAAAAAGAGTGAATTATTTGAATTTATACCGTTTGTAATTTATATGGTGCACCATGAGCCTAAAGGAAAACGTGCAAGGTTAATAATTTTAAAAGCTTTAAAAAACTTTATATATGATGTAACACTCCAAAGAGAAAGGAAAACTTGAAATCGCATCATATGACCCCTTTAATTTAACTTATTTATATATATTTAAATCCAAAGCAAATTATATCTTTGAGCCAGTAGGTGGCGACAAGTGACTGTATTTATGAGTGAATCATTTAAATCATTCACTCAACCGATTTGTTCAATTTGAAGGAGTCATTGAATCATTCACTCAAACATTTGATTCAAAAGCACTGATACATTCAGGAACCAACAAGATGACCTTCTTTATGGGTGAATCACTGACTCATTCTCTGAACTGATGTGTTAAAGAGTGCTAATTCACAACTATACGAAACGCCACTACTGTGTGTTGCTCACAGACACAGTTTAGAGGGGGCGTATTCAATTTCTGTAACCTCTAATGCTGCCTCATCTGATTTCATGACCCTGCTGTTTATCTGTTGCTGTTCACATCAAAACAAAATGCTTTTTGGGGTGTGAAATACAGGAGGTAAGACATCACCAGAGAGAATTTGGAGAACATTGCAAACATTCTGTGTAAAATAAAGGCGAGTAACAGATTTCAGTGCTGCCTTGTCAGATTTGGTGACCCACTGCAGTTGCATTGCTGCTTTTTAATTGTTTTTCTATATAAGTACTAGACGGACGACTTTGACGTTGCGCCATGTTTCATTGCTTTGCTTATGAGTGCCTCATTTATTATACTTCATGACAAGAAGTTAAACCTTTAGCCCCAAAGGGGACCCGTCTCTAATCAGGGCCCCTGGATTTGTCCTAACTTTCCCCTACGTTATGCCACCTCTGTGTATCAAACATACAGAAATTCAAAAGTCTTCACAACAACCCATCAGAAGTTATACTGTTATTGTACATTTTTTTAAATAAATTCTTAAATTAAACTAAACAATTAAAACTGTTGAAGTTCCTTGAATTCACTTGATTAGATCTGCTTTTGATCTAATTATTATTAGATCTAATTATGCATTAGATCTGATTATTAAAATTTAATTAAACCAATAAAGTGAAATCCAGAAAAATGTAAACAGAAAACAGAATTTGGTAAAAATAAATTGGAATTTGAGAAAAAATAAAACTGAATTCACAAGGCCCTACATTTTTTAGTTAAAAAAATTAATAAATTATTGTTAAATGGTAAGTTTCATGGTTTCAATTAATTAGACATGCATTTTGATTTAATTTAACCATTAAAACTAAAACAAAAAAAATTCATGCCCTACAACTGTCATAAAATGTCACAAACCATTACTTTCTAAAATCATTCATAAAAATGGCAAAGGAAAAGTCACCCAAAGTTTTCAAAAATAATTACTGACATGGATGATTACTGACATTCATGATTATGAAATGGCATTACAGAATTAATATTGAAATGCTGGTTATATGTATTGTGTACACACTAACTTAAAGGGATAGTTCACCCAAAAATGAAAATTAGCCCATGATTTACTCACCCTCAGGGCATCCTAGGCGTATCTGACATTCCTCTTTCAGATGAATCCAATCGGAGTTATATTAAAAATTGTCCTGGCTCTTCCAAACTGTATAATGGCAGTGGTGCCCATTTTTGAAGCCTAAAAAACAGCATCCATCCATCATAAAACTACTCCACACGGCTCCAGGGTGTTAATAAAGGCCTTCTGAAGCGAAACGATGCGTTAGTGTAAGAAAAATATAGATTTTAAAAAATGTATAAACAGTAATCTCCAGCTTCCGGTCGCTCAAGCAGGCATGTTCACGACAAGGCATTCGAGCATATGACGTAGGCGCAGCGGAAGGTGCAACGTAATTAATTAATAATTTGTTTAACTAATTAATAATTAGTTTAGTGACACAAATTTGAACCGCTGCTTAGTGATGAACCAAGATTTGAGACTGGTAGCGCAGTGCCGTACTGTCTCTATCTGATGGTCTTTGTGTATGTGTGTGTTTGTGCCATGAACCGGTTCAGCTCCTCTGGCTAAGCCTGTGGCTAGAGCCCGGCTTATTATCTCTGAGCAGTACTTTCATCTACTCTCTGTTGGTGCCCTTTTTGACTGAACTTGATCCATTATTAAAAGCCAGTTATTTTTTCTTTTAAGATATGTTCCTATGCAGGCACACAGATAAAGGCCTGTGGTATTACACTGTAAGAACATGTGATTATGGTCACACTGTCAGTTTTTGTGATCGACAACCGCATTTACTTACAGGTGTGAGTCTTGAAAGCCCGTTCACACAGCAACTTACAGTAGCGTCTCAGATACTGTCTGTATGAACGTGTAATGGGAGTCAAGCCCGTATTCCTTACCAGTTACCATAGCGACAGTGACCAAAATAATATCAAATATGGCGACGTCCATAAAGCTGAAAGTCTTATTACTTTCTGACATGACAAGAGTCCAATCGAGCCGTGAGTTCATCCGTCAAATCTTCATTAACTGACAGCAGCTTTTATATTTGGTTGGAGAATGGAGCATTTGAGTGAGTCGCACACAGAACACAAAACTGACGGGAGCGGCTCCGGTGGAGACTGGATCTAAAACTTTCAGATGACACACAGCTCATCACTGTAAGTTACTGAAACCACACATGAAAACATGCAACACACGGTAGACACACATTTGTGCAGCAGAGCGCCTCTCTCTCGCACTGTATGACGTGACAGACAACTAGTTGTCCAGTCCAGTCCTGTTCTGTTCAAACAGCACGTGTTTTCCGAGAATGCGGTTGTGAGTCCTGAAAATTTTCGGGTGTGAGTATTTACGGCTTGTGACTAACCGTATTAAGGACTCAAATACAGGACTGACAACTGTATTCTGCTGCTGTATGAAAGTGGCCATACAAGTCTCAAAAGCCATTGCAAGGTCAGTAACAGAAAGAACTGTATTCTAATTGACCGTCGGTGTTCAGGTGTATTTTTGATCATGTCTTTTTTTTGTAATTTGCTGTAGCCATGTTTCTTCCTTCTTCTTCTTCTTCTTTTGTGCTGCTTTTGCTGTACTTTGGATCAAATAAATGCAGGCTTGGTGAGCAGAAGAGACTTCTTTATAAAACATTAAAAATCTTACTGCTCAAAAACTGTTGACTGGTAGGTTATATAGATTACAGAAATGTTATATTGTAATGTTTTATATATTTATATATTCTCTTTGTAGTTCATTCCTTTCCTGTTCATACTTAGGACAGAGTAACAACACATGATCAACTGTTTCCTTTACTTAGCATGTTTCACATAATCCAGTTCTGTGTTTTCCTATTATATGAAGTGTAGAATTAAGTTTTATATGACCCATCCTTAGTCTTGTTAAAATGACCTGATCATCTCTACTTAAGTTTAGTATCATTTTGCTTTGACTTACCCTGTTTTGTATAATATAAAAATGTCTTCCTGTTTTACAGTCATTCCAAATCCCTTGCCATTTCCAATTGCAAGCTTCTTTAATTATACTTTTCCCCTCCATCCTGCTTAGTGAAACTGAAATAGTAGGAGTATGCAGATTAAGTGACTCTTTAGCCATTTTATCAGCTTTTTCATTTCCTGGTATATCAACATGCGCTGGAACCCAAACAAAATTAACTATTATTCCAGCATTTCTTAATCTATACAATATATTCATTATTTCTATAAAGATATCATATCTAACAGTTTGAAAAGTTTGAAGACTGGTAAGTGATGCCATTGAATTTGAACAAATCACCAC